CAGGTTATATCCTGACTCTGTCAGTTTAAGGCAGTGTTTCTGTATCATTGCCTTGATCTTAATTTTCTTGTTAAATTGTAATTCTGGCATAGACTCGCCCCCTGGATTATCCTCAAACCAATGCAAAACTCAATGCACTCATCTCTTGTTTTCTTCCCAAGACAGAATTTCCCATCCCAAAACCACCGCCAGATGGAGGAGAAGGCTGCGAGGAAGAGGAAGATGCCCTGGGACCACCAGGCAGGTGAGGAGGAAGCCAGTGCCCCATTTCCCCTTTCCTTTGCTCCATCACTCAGCCCAGCATGGCCCCTGACTGCAGGACAACACCACTGGCAATGCTGTCCTGCCACGGATGAACTGGGGGCATCTCCTTCCCTTTCCCTCTGGCACGAAGGCATATCCTATCCTCTTTCTGTCCTTCCTCCCCCAGACAAGCAGCTGAGGATGGAGACTAGGGAGGACAAAGCCCCATGGCACAACTTCATAGCAGAGGCCATTTTGAGTGGCTCCACAGCACAGGAATACAATAGGGAAGAAAAGCCCCAGAGATCCCACAGGAGGAGGGGCTGCAAACCCAGCCCAGGGTGCTCTGAGGAGAAAAGACCCACCCTGGGCCAGGAAGGTGGACAGAGCTTCAGCCAGAGGTCAGAGCTGGTGGCCCATGAGCAGCTTCTTGATGGGGAGAATCCCTACAAGTGCTTGGAGTGTGGGAAGAGCTTCAGGCAGAGCAGCACCCTGATCAGCCACCAGATGATCCACACTGGGGAATGGCCATACATGTGTGGGGAGTGTGGGAAGGGGTTCAGCTACAGATCCACCCTTGTGACCCACCAACGCATCCACACCGGGGAGAGGCCCTATGAGTGTCCTGAGTGCCAGAAGAGGTTTCGGATTAGCTCAGATCTTCTCCTGCACCAGCGGATTCACACAGAAGGGAGGCCCTTCCACTGCCCTGATTGTGGGAAGGGCTTCAAGCGCAACTCCCATCTCATCAGGCACCAGCTCATTCACTCCGGGGAGAGGCCCTACGAGTGCCTCACGTGTGGGAAGAGGTTTCAGACCAGCACCAATCTCCGCCGGCATGTGCAGATTCACAGAGATGAGAGGCCCTTCCGCTGCCCTGACTGCGGGAAGGGCTTCAAGCAGAACGTCACCCTCATCAGGCACCGGCGCATCCACACTGGGGAGAGGCCCTACGAGTACCCCACATGTGGGAAGAGCTTCACCCAGTGCTCTGACTTGACCAGCCAGGAGTCACCAGTAAGGGATGTCCTGCCAGTGCCCCAGCTGCAGGAAGAGCTTGATGAACTGCTCCAGCTTCTTCCCCCATTGGAGGACCCATATTGGAAAGAGCCCTGTGACCCATGGTGGGAAGACATCTTTTAATTTTCCTGCCCCTGCCAATGACATGGTGTGGGATTGAAGAACATGAGGGTCTGGCCATGGCCCTGTCATCACATTCACTTCCACCTCAGGTCTTTGCCTGAGGGACAGGAAAGGGACTCTCTCTCTCCCTGAGTGTGGTATTCACATGCCTTTTGAACATGTGAATGTTCAAAGCTCTGAGACAAGCAGAGAAGAAGGAAAACATAATTCTTACCTCTCTTGCTGTGCCTGTGTTGTGCTAAAGTAGAATGCAATATGGAGATTGTTTACTATTTTTCAGGTTCTTAGTTATGCTAAGTTGTATATTGTAAGTTGGTTTGTTCCATTCGCCCCTGTGGTTGTGTAGTGGTTCTACCCAGGTTGTCTCCTCCC